CCTCCTCGTGCGCGGGCGCGGGAGGCTGGTCGGCGGGGCTGGCGCGCCCCTGCCCAAGCTGCGGTCGCAGTGCGTTGCTGCTGGGCGAAGGGATGGCGGGCGCGGCGCGTTGCTGCTGTGCGCCGCTGGAAGTCGATCCTGGGCATGCTTTCGTACTGGGCGCGGACGTGCCAACGCAGTGGTGGAGCGGGTCTTGTTGCGTGGGTAGCCCGGCTTCCATCTGGGCACGTGGGCCGCAGATGCGCGTTCTTGCGCCTGTCGTCCAGGGGCCGCCCTCGCGCGGCGGCGCGCGTCGCTGTTTCGCGCCCAACCGCGGCGCGGCAGGGCTGAGGCAGCTTGAACACATGCCCGCGCGACCTAGTCCACCAGTGGCCAGCGCGGAGGAGTGCGCCATTCGCCCGTAGATCCCGACCCGTTCTCATGTTCATGGGAAGCATTTGGATGTTTTACCAGTCGCCCCCATTCCATGGGAGGTCTATGCATCGCGCCACTCGCTCACATCTTTTACGGAGGTGTCGCGCAGGAATGCCCGCCCCCATTGTTTGGGGGGCCATTTGAAATTTGCACCGCTCGCCCCCCGCATCTCGCTGCCATTCTGTGGGAGATATCGCAAAAGGAATATTGGAACTATGACTGCTCGGTCCCACCTATATATATATATATATATATATATCGGTTCTTGCGCGTTGGGATAGATGCCGCTGGCGACTGGCGTTGGATGTCGGCTAGAAGAGCTGGCGGCATTTACCGCCCTGCGCACGCCCGACATGCGCGCGGCTGTGGCCAGCACTACCGACAATAGCTACCGCGGGTATCTGGTCAAATGTCTGGCACAGGTTGTCGAGTTGAAAAGTGATGTTCCTGAAGTGACCCAACCCGGAGCTTCGACGGGTTCCAGCGTGCTGTGACCATGTCAACAAGTATTGCCGCGCCGACACTTCCGATTCGTTATGCGCCATATCTGTCGACGGATCAACCAGGCCCCTCTGTTCAGCATTCATTTCCGCGAGAGTGCCCGCATGACAGGCCGCCCACGCCGCCTGCCACGCTCTGGCAGCTGCTACTTCCCAGAGTACGCGTACCCTCAGGTGCCCTGATTGGCGTCTGGGGGCGCGCGTGCGAGTCGTTACCGCGCAGGGCGTGACCCTTCCGACCTTGCGCGCCTGGTCGGGGGCCGACCCATCTCTGAGCGCCGCCGACCGCCGACCGCGCGACGACCGCAATTGCAAAGTGTCCAAGCAGCGCTTGAACAGGAGCCCGCGCGCCCGTCGGCCGCCATCCCGGCCCGCGCGCTCGCGCGGCACTGCCGCTGCCCAGGTCGGGCGCAACGCCTTCCAGCCAAGGGGCCCGCTCGCTGCGTCCACGGGCAAGGCGCCAGGGCTCGTTGGCGCCCCTCTGAGCAGCATGGCCCAGAAGGGGTCGCGCGGCTGCGCGACGAGTTTGCGCGGCGCCCTTGTGCGCCACGCAGCGCTGCGTGGCTACTGTGCGACTTGACTGCGCGGCGCGTTTGCGGCGGGCCCCCTCGCGCGCAGCGACCCCGCAGCGCCGCCGCGCGGCCGCGTCGCGCGAGCGCACGGCGGCAAGCCGCTGGCGCCGCGACCGCAGGGCGCTCGCTGCCTGGCGGGGCGGCTAGGGCCGCGGGAGGTGCGCCGCAGCAAGCGCAGGTACTCAGTCAAGGGGCACGGCCCGCAAATCAACGGCCTCGAGCGACGCGGCGCGCGGCTGAGCGCGCCCGATGTGCACGAGTGATATCTCTCATGGCGAGGTTTCCGCGCACGCGGGGGGGCCCCTCGCGGCGCGCCCCGCCGGCTGCGAGCTGTCGCTGGGCGACGTCGCGACGATGGCCGCGACCCTGAAGATGATGGTCGCGACCGCGTCGTTGGGCCCGCTCCAGACTGCGCGCCCGCTGAACGAGCGCGTCGCGGCGGGCGAGATCGATGCCCGCGCTCTGCGCCGCGTCGCGCCCTCGCGCCGCCTCGTCAACGTCGAGACGGGCGCCCGCGGAAGGGGCGCGGGCGCGCAGAGGCGCGAGACCGTCGCGAACGCCGTGGCCAGCCCCCAGGGCAAGCGGCCAGTGCTTGCGGCATTCGGGGCCGATGCGATGCGGAATCGCGACTTCGAGAGCCACATTTGGGCGTATTTTTGGCGACGAGAACGCGCCGCCCCGGAGAGGCGCGGGGGGTCGTCGCGGGCCTCGCGCGGGACAGCGGCATTGGGCAACGCGTGGAGCGCCGCCAGATGAATGAGGAGCTGGGCCCCGACGCGTCGAGCCGCGAGTCGCTCGAGTTCATCTACTCCTAGCCGCCGACGGCCGACTTCCAGTTCGCCTAGTCCGTCGGGTGCCCGCGCGCTGTCGGCGCGCGCGGTGAGCGCCGGCGGCTTCCGCGCAGCGAACTACAAGGCCGGGCCCTTCATTTGCATCGCCAGATCGACATGCTATTCAGTGTGATGCCCCAGCGACTGCGAGGGCACGACGAACGAGCAGGTGGGCAAGGTCTGGCCGCCCGCCGCCCCCCAGCCTTTCGGCGGCGACCGTCGCCGACGCCCGCGCCCGATCGCCCAGTCCCATGGCGACTATCATCGGTTATATGTTACATCCAGATGCTGAACAACATGCACGCTCCAATGCGCGACGTCTGGTAGACTTCTCCTGCCGGAAGTGGGCGGGATCTGCCCCGTGTAGACCTTCATGATCAACGCCGTTAAGGTCTTCGCGCCGATGGCGCCCACCCAGGTTGCTGTCCTGCACGAGGCCCCGAACGAGAGGAAGGGTCTGGCGCCTCGGTTTAGCGTCGTTGCGCGGCAGTGCCTGAGTTGCTCCTCACTCGTCGCTCCCGCGTCAGCCCTTGGAGTAGGCATTTACTCTCCGCCAGCCGCCCGATGCTTGAGCCGCCTATCAGGAGCTGTGACTGGGGGGCGGGCCCGCCCTGCGCGCGCCCGTGCACTGTCTGTGCTGCGCCATGGCGGCGGCCTCGCACTGACGGTTGCCCGCGAGCGCGCCAGCGCGCGCGCGCGGCAGCGTCTGTCTTGGGGCACCGCCGTCGACGTCGCGCCCAAAGCGGCTACGCGTGTGACGTCCACCCCCCAGCTCGCCGTCATGATGCGCACAGAGCCGCGCGGTCGTCATGGCTGTGCGTGACCTCCTGTCTGGGGCCATGGGAAGCTGGTCGGGCGGCTGCAGGCGGCGCGAACCCCGGCGCGTCCGCAACGGATCGACTGGAAAGGCTCGCGGTTTCACTTGGCGCACCGAGCGCGTTCCACTACTCGCGAAATGCCGACTCGCAAACGTCCGAAAACATATGTCCGTTATGCTGTAATGTATCGTAGATCCTCCGCGGAAGGACCAGGCCATTTGCGAGCAGTTATTTTGCGAGTAGTGGGGCGCGCTTGTCTATTGGCGCAGCGCCACCCCTGTCCTCTTGAGCGCGCTGTTCAGCATTTGTGCGCGTGCGTCTTGGCGGCTACCGCCGCGCGTCGATGGGCTCGAGTACGTCTGGGCCCAGCGTGCCAGCGGCGAGGCGCTCGCGACTGAGCTGCGACGAGCGCTGCGAGGATGGCCCGACCGCGCGCTCGCCGCAGATCTCGTTCGACGCGAGCGCTGTCGAGAAGCCGTTCCATGCCGTCAGTGGGAAATCAGGTTCTCTGTTACTTGCGTGGGTTTTTTTGTCTCGCGCGAGATTGGCGCCGCGCGGGCAGCGACGCGGCCGTCTGCGTCGCGAAGCCCGGGCAGGCACGACGCTCCAGCCACTCGGCTGGCGCGGCGAGCGCGCGCTCGGCTTTGACACCGTAGCGCCGGCTGCGCTGCGAGGCGCCAGCGCGACGGCGCTCCGCCGCAGAGGTCGTGGATGCATGACCGACCGCGCTTCCTTGAACGACGGCGTGCGTCGCGGTGGTCTGGCGCGTTTGCCGCGCTGCGTTGCCGACGGCGGGGCCGCTGCGAACGGCCGAAGTAGGCGCCTGCGATGCGGCGCCTGCGACGAGCGGCTGAAGTGGGCCGCTCCCAGACAGCGCGCGCCGCGTCGGCGCCGCTCAACAGTCGCCGGCGCCGGGCGCGATCTGCGCCGGGCCCCCGCGAGGCCCGCGAGCAAGCGCCCCCGGCTGCGTGGCAACACCAGTTGGTCGCGTTGGGCAATGAAGAGCCTGTCGTTGGGCACTCCCTGCGGTGGGGAGTCGTTGCGATTCACGACCCTGGCCAGGGTAAGCTCGGCTTATCTCGCGCGCGGGCTGACCGCAAGCAAGCCGACAGGGCACCCAGGGTTCACTGTGTTCTGTTCGTGCTGAGGCCCCTGAGCTTGCGCCGGGCGCCCGATGCTGAGGCCTCGCGGCGCATGCTCTGGCGCATCATTGCGGGGGGGTTCCTGTGGCCGAAGTGCCGCGGGGGACTAATATCCATTGCTCAGTAACCCTTGTTCGAGTAGGATGGGCCCCTTGCCGCGTGGTTCGCAGGGGTCCCGCGAACCTGTATATAGTTGGCACGGAAAAGACTGCCACTCTGTTACCTCTCATGTTACTAATCAAGTGCCGCCATGTCTCTTACCACTCACCATTGCCACCCGCAATTGTAGTCCGCCTCCTTCCGCTCGTATCCTTTTTCCTCTCCCACCCTGCCTCCTCTCCTTTATGCCTCCTCGTCCTCTTCGCTTTCTAACCTCCTTCCATTCCGCTCGCTATTCGTCGTCGGGTGCCTGCCTGGCGCCGTCATGGCGCGTTCTCCGAGCCGCGTCCAGCCGCAAAGACGAGGATCCCTCCCGAAACCTGAGAATGGCGTAACGTAATCAGGCTGAGGAGGCGAAGGATGATGAGGAGGATGAGGCAGAGTGTTCCTTCCCCCCCGTTCCTCTTTTCTCGTCGGCCCTTTCCCCCCTTTTCCCATGCCGTTCATCTCTCTTTTGTCGCCCGTCCGTCTCGCTTTGCTCTGTTCCTTCCCCTCCTTTCTGGGCTCATCCCGGGGAGTGTCCCGCCATGTGATGTGTTCGTGCAGTGCAAATCGGGTCGGCAAGGTGCTCAGCACCTCCTCGGGGTCAAGCGGATCCCACAGGACGCGAGCGCGGTGGGTCGCCCCGGAGGCCTGCGCGGCCACAGAGCTGGGTGTTCTTCGCAGGTGCATGAACAGTACATGAACACAATGTCATGATACACTCCATGCTCGCAAGTCGCATCACCGCCATTTTCTTTCAATCGGGTTTGTGCCATTTTTCCAGCCTTCAGAAGATGAGACCCGTGGTTTCCGATGTTTGATGTGCTGTTTGGTTTTTTTTCGTGCTACCTGCTTGTAATTATTGTTGGTTCGTCCTGCTCTGTCTTCGCGCATGCTGTGGGCCTTTTGTGGGCCCCTTCCCTTGGAGGCCTCAGGGGCGGCCTCTTGGGATCCTTTCCAAGGCTTTCTTGAATTATTGAGGCCCCTTCGGGGTCTCTTGGGGGCATTTTTCCAAGACATGTTTGGAGCCTTGGGGGCCATTTTGTGGGGAAGGCTCTTAGGCCCCCAACGAATGTCCTCTTCCTCAATTTGGCCTTTCTTGGGCCCCTTTTGGGGCTACGAGCATAAGTGCATGGTAAGATGTCCGTTCGCATATCACATAGACTTTCATTTTGGTTATACCCGGGTTTGCCAAGTGCATTTTTGTGTTGTTTTTTACCGGTATCCAGCTGTACGCGGCGAGTCGGGGGGGTGCGGGAGGCCGTGACGTGTGATGTTTCGTGTCGCGAGGCATGGGAGAGCCCTATGATGTGATGTATGTTTCCGCGTCGTGATGGTGATGGTGATGGTGACGATGATGATGATGATTACGATAGCGATAGCGATGACGATGAAGTGGCGATGAGGGTTATGGTGACTTCGGCCACGATGAGAATGGTGATGATGATGATTCCGATGACGATGACGACGATGACGACAACGATGTTGATGACGACGGTGATCCTGATGGTGCTGATGACGACGATGATGACGATGATGAAGATGATGATGACGACGATGATGATGAGGAGGATGATTATCAAGATGGTGGTGACAATGATGAGGACGAAGACGATGACGATGCGGTTGATGATATCATGATAAGGGCGATGATGAGGATGATGATGATGATCGCGACGTTTATGCTCCTGCTGATGATCATCATGAGATGACAATGACGGTGACGATGATCATGATGCTGATGCTGACGTTGAGAATGACGACGACGATTGTGTCTCGCTCAAGCCGTCGACGACAATGTTGTTGATGAAGATGATTTTGCTGACGTTTATGCTGATGGTGAGGATGATGAAGATGAGGCGATGGCTATCGAGGCGATGATGATGCTAATGATTATGATGGTGATGATGATGCCGATGGCGCTTATGCTGATTTTGACGATACCGGTGACGATACTGTTGCTGCTGCTGGTGATGATGAAGGTTTACTGCTGATGATTGAGAAACTGACGGTGATGACGATTATATGATTACGATGATGATGCTGATGATGATGGTGATGGTGGTGGTGGTGATCCTGATGCTGCTGAGAATGCTGCTGATGAAGAAGACGACTATTCTTTTGATGAGGGTGATGTTGCGGCTGCTGATAGGAGTGCGTGCACAGGCATGGGGAGGAGAGCCTCTTGTCGCCGTCCACGCTTGTTCAGCATCTTCCGTTCGCTCCGCTCCACAGTCTTTTTGGCTCACAGGGTTGAGCCTGCGACCTTCGGCCTGGACATCTTATGGCTGGGGGGCCCCTCCAGAAGCTGCTGTTCCTGGCGGGCCACGAGGCGTTTACTTACTGGCTCCTGCGCCCGGCGGCACCCGTAGAGCCGGCGCGCCCGGCCTGCGAGTGCGTGTGCCCCGCGGCGCCCGACCGGTCGTGCCCGCTGCCCAAAGCGGAGAAGGTGCCTAGCGGCTCGCCCTGGCAGTCGGTGCCGCAGGCTTTCGGCGCGGGGCTGGCGGGACAGCTCCTGGGGCGCGGACTCTGGGAGTGCGGTCGGGTCGCCTGCTCCTGCTGCGGTTGCCTCCGACGCAATGGCGATCGCCCCGCTCGCCGCCGTGGACTCGGAGTTCTGGAGGACTCTGATGCCGGGGTCCCGGCTGCTGGCTTGGCACGCCGACGACAGCGTCTGGCACGAGAGGCTGGCGGCCTGGCCGATTAGCGGGCCCCACTGGGTGCTCCAGACTCCCGACAAGGATCCCTACCCGGAGTACTTGGACGGGTCTGACCCCGAGGGGCTCGAGCGGGCGACCCCCCTGCTGGTGGACGGGAGGCTCCCTCGGCTGGGTGCGCAGGCATATCGGTTCCCGCTGCCGCCGACGGAGGACGAGCTGCAGGCCGTCATCCGCGAGGGGGCCGCGCAAGCCGAGGAGATCACGAGGGCGGCGGGTCTGGAGCTGCAGCGCCCCGAGCGGGTGATGGTGCGCTTCGGGGAGGTGAAGGGGCTGGACGAGTTCTTTGGCGGGAGCTTTCTCCCGCGCCGCCGCACTCGGCGCCCCGCCGCCTCGGGCTCGGCTGCCATTGGCGACGAGGCGCCCGAGGAGTTCCCTGCGCGCGGTCCTGGACCGCCCATCGACAGGCACGTGCGGGTGCTGGCCGAGCCGTCCGTGATCGGGGCGGTTGGCTCTGTCGTGGCGTTCGAGGCGAGGGATGTACGGGGCGGCAAGTACGATGCTTTGGTGGACCGCGGCGATGGCAATCGGCGGGTCACCTGCATTCGATCGGACCTCGTCCCGCAGTTCATCGCCGACTGGTGTGGCACGGCGCGCGCGGAGCTGCTTGTGGCTGGCCAGGATCAGCCGGAGGCGGGCCGCGGGCCGACCATCCTGGGAGAGGGCGCTGCCGAGCCTGGGGCGTCAGCCGCCGCGGCCGACGGCGGCGATGCTCGCGCGCTCTGGCTGGACTACGACGAACAGGGCGGCCGACACAAGGACTTTCGCAAGTGCTGCCAGGAGTCGCACAGCGTCGTCGACCCCGACTTCCCGCTGCAGGGTCCCGCGACCGTGCTCGCGGTGATGCGCCACGTGGAGCGTCACGGTGGCAACCCACGCTTGTGGCTCGCCATCTGGGCTCGGGAGAGGCGCATCGAGGACTCCGACCGCGTGATGCACGAGATGCGATGTCTCATCGACATCCTTTTCCTCGGCGCCACCTGCGACCAGATCAACCTGCCAGCGCTGGCGAGCATGGAGGTGGCCGTCCGCCGGATCCAGACGATCATCGACGCGTGCCAGGTGACGGGCAAGGCGCCGAACTGGCAGCTCGCGCGCTACTTCTCTGGGACTACGGCAGCGGTCGACGCCATCTCGCCCGAGATGCGCCAGTGCGTGGCCAGAAGGGCGAAGGAGGACGCGGACATCGCTGCAGGCGCTCAGCGGGCTCGCACGCTCCAGGCGAGTCCCGGCGAGGAAGAGGCTCCGGAGGGGGGCGCAGGAGGTGGATCCCGGGGGAGGGGCGGCCGAGGCCGCGGCGGTGGCGCCGAGGGCCGCGGCCGTGGGAGTGGCGCCCCCCCGGGGCCCAATGACCGCCCTTGAGCACGGCGGGGGGGGTGGGCCCCCTCCCGCCGAGACGTTTCGGCCCACGTCGGCAGCCTTACCGCCGGGGCGGGGCTCGCGCTTGCTCTTCCCGACCCCCCTGGTGGCGGAGGGCGTCTTCAGCCGACATCACCGTGGGCGACGAGGACCTCGTGGGCAGCGGCGTATCTTCGTGGTCGTGAACCGCGCGATCAGGGCGCTTTTTGGCTGGAGGGACTCGAGAGCAGCACATCCCTGCATCGGTGCGAGTTCGCAGGGATGCATGATGAGGTCGTGGCGCGCGTCGAGGGCCTGGTCAGATCCCAGGGGCCGACAGCTGACGCACCCTCTCCGAGATCGTCGTTTTTAGAGATGATCCGTGGCGTTTCCCTGTATGAGGAATGCCAATCGAACATTGTCCCCTTCCAGTTGCGCCTCCTCTCACTCCCTGCCGACGTCTCCACGGCGCCGTCCGTGCATGACCTTGTCGACCAGCAGGGGCGCCTTTTCTTGGAGGGTTGTGGAGGGCGCGCGCTACGTGACATCAGTGAGTTCGTGGACTCGCGACGGCGGGAGCCCGTCAAGCCGTGCTCTGACCCTCGCCTTGGTCGGTCGCGTCGCCAGTACCTTCGGTTCATCCGGCGCCTGCATAGCATAGGCATGCTCCAGTACACCACGCAGCCCATTGATTTCATCGGGTCCTTCTTCGTCTGGAAGAAGGGTAAGACCAAGCAGATGCTCATCTTGGACGGTCGAGCGGCCAACCAGCGCTTCGCCCAGCCACCTCACGTCGACCTGCTGACCGCGGAGGGCCCGGCCTCCATCGAGGTTTTCGTGGACGAGGACCCCGAGCTGACCAGCGACCTCGGCCGCGGCGCTCTCCGAGCGCTTCGCATTGCCCTCGGTGTCGCAGACGTGGAGAACTGTTTCCACCGCGTGATCATGCCCCCGTGGATGAGCCGCATGTTCTGCTACGAGCCCGTGCTCGCCGCGGAGGTGGATCCCGCAGGCTTGCCCTTGGTCGAGGGCGACTTGGCCTCGGGGGGCGCCCAGGTGTGGCCCGCCGCGCGCCCCCTGCCGATGGGCTTTGCGTGGAGCCTCTACTTCATCGCGGGGTGTCGGCCATGTTCGAGACAGGCGCCCCCGTGACGGACCTCTGGCGGTACGTCTATGTCGACAACCTCGGGGTCCTGGGCAGGGGCGCCGACACTGCGGGCGCGGCCCCCTCCGAGCAGGCGCAGGTCTTTAGCGAGAACGGGCTGGACATCCACGAGGTCGAGCTCTTCACCGAGAAGGGCTCCGCGCTGGGCGTTGACCTCGACGGCTCGAGTCTTGCTACCTGCCCCACGCAGAAGCGTCGGTGCAGGATCGAGAGGGGGCTGCTCTACCTCCTCCAGCGTGGGCGAGCCAGCGGGCAGATGGTGGAGAGCATCCTTGGGCACTGTACCTACGCCGCCCTGGTCAAGAGAGAGACCGTGGCCGTTTTCGCGGCCTCGTACGCCTTCGTGCACGCCACTTACACGAAGGACATCGAGCTCTGGGACTCGGTCAAGGCGGAGTTCGGTGCCTTCTTGGGGCTGCTGGTGTTCAT